ATTGGGTAGCTCCTAGTCTAGCTTTCAGTGTTCAATTTAGCTCAGAACTCTTGTCTCTACTGAGGTCTCCTTCAAGCTGTGAAAGCACCCAGGCATCCCTCTAATCATAACAATTGCTTGCTTATTTAGATTACTTTCTTGTCTCTTGTAGTAGTTATGTAATCTGGTGTCAGTTTGGGACTTGAAAGGATTAAGAGTGAGGGGGTGGAGTCTATAGTCTGTCAATCATTGTATAGCCAATGAGGCCACTCTGTGGGCATGACCTTTCCCTGAGGATTCTGGGAATAACTATTTTTCCCCCTTGATGGCAGAGACTCTCTCTGCTCACTCCCTGGGAGACACTCTCGACACATGGCAAGATATGCTGACAAGACACACGGCACTACGCTGATAGACTTCCCTGCCCTGGGAACTGGAAGACCCACATGGAGACCCCTACCAGTGCTGAGATGCTTCAACCACCACTGGATCCACCAGACTTTGCACCCACTGGCCTGTGATCTTCCGACATTCGGCATCATTGCATGTGTTTCGTGAGTCAGAAGAGAACTTTATAGATTGGTATCAGACATACGGGCTAATATCGGACTTATGGACTTGATCTGGACAGGACTGGGATGTTTTCTCAATATTCAACTGCTCTTGTATCTAAAGCTCTTTCTTATACACATATGAGAGTGTCTATGGATTTCTTTAACACACCTCTCATCTACTTCTCATCTTATTTACACCTGGCCTGTTTTATACACTCAGTGTAACAACTTATGGTAAAAACAGGTAAGATAATGCCCAAATTAAGATAAGGCCAGGATCCTGAGCAGGGAAAGTGAAGAGATCAGTGCAGACCATCAGGGATGGGAATGGGGTGCTACACAAATGGCCAGGCTCCAAGGGCTGATGGTGTTGACACAGTTGAGCCTCAGATTTGACTAAGAGAGTTGGCAGTTGGTGTGATTGGCAACAGATAAAGAATTGTCAGTGGAGAGGAAGAACCTTTCCAATTCTAATTTCTAAAAGAAAGTTCCATGTAGTGTTGCATAGGTGGCACTGATGCTTATGTACAAGATTCCTAAGTTAAAGATTTCCACCTGACGTTCTCACAGAAGACTGATAGCAAGCTTGGCACTTCAGAAGGCTTCAAATACTCCAAGTGCACAGTCTTCCGTGTTCAGTCTACTTGGCATATTTCTACTGCCCAGGTACAATGATGGGGTGCGTATCTTTTAGATATATGTTCACCCACCACTTCTCAACTTGATCTTTAATAGGTTCAGGGTGATTATTAGCTTACCTGGCCTCTGCACAAGGAGCCCTAGTGGGCCAGTGGTTAAAGTGCTCAGCTGCTGACCAAAGGTTGGCAGTTTGAACTTAACCAGCCATAGTACATGTGAGAGATGGGGCAGTCTGCTCCCCTAATGATTACAGTCTAGGAACACCACGGGGCAGTTGTACTCTTGTTCTACAGGCTCCGTAAGAGTTGGAATCCACTCTTGAGCAGCAGCTTTGGTTTGGTTTTGAGCTCTAACCAGTAGACCCCAGGACAAGCCTGAGTTGTCATCATTAAAAATTGTCTCCAGACATTAAAGGGTCATACCAGTTAGTTGAGAACCACTGCTCCAGGCGAATCCTGGGACTCAGAACAATCTGGGAATTTCCTTTTGCATATTTTGACATGTTCAGTTAAACTAGGGCTGAGTCATGAGATGCTGAATGAAATAAAAATGAAGCGTAAAGTGCTGCCAGTTTAAGGTGTTGCAAGCGAGTAGGGTGCAGGAGGTAGAAATTCAGTATACTCATTTTTTTGAAATTAAAGGCAAGATCTGAAATGATAACCTTAAGAGACTTAGTTTTGGCTCAACTGATGAATAACTAATGTTACTAACGCGATCCCACCAGTCGAAGCTTTTTGATGATTAGATCTCTTGATAGTTTTTCTAAGAACAGACTCAGCTCTCCAGGAGGGGTTTGCATTTGCGTTGGGTTGCCTTTCTGTAACGGAAGGGCAGAGCAGAATATGAAGTTGCTGCTTTGGGAAAGTTATTTTAAAATGATCCCGGGAAAGAATTTAACTGTAGCTGGATTTTACTACTTAGAAGCAAAATTATGGTAGCCCTCCTGGCATAATGGGCTGCACGTTTGGTGGCTAACCACAAGCTCAGTAGTTCGAAACCACCAGCTTCTCTGAGTATAAAAGAGGAGACTTTCTATTCCCCTAAAGATGTATAATCTTGGAAACCCACAGGGGTAGAGACACTTAGTTTTATAGTGTCACTCAGAATCAACTCAATAGCAGTGAGTTTGAGAGAGAAAACATGGCCCAATGCTGAAGGAATCGGGTATCCGGCATCAAAGAACAAAAATCATACTGTGTGCTCACCTCCCCGATCCGATCACTGAAAACAAATGGGTGCATATGCAGCAAATGTGTGAAGAAAGCTGATGGTGCCCAGCTATCAAAATATATAGTGTCTGGGGTCTTAAAGGCTTGAAGGTAAACAAGCGACCATCTAGCTGAGAAGCAACAGGTATCAGGCATCAAAGAACAAAAAATCAAATCATTGTGAATGAGGGGGAGTGCGGAGTGGGGACCCAAAGCCCATCTGTAGGCAACTGGACATCCCTTTACAGAAGGGTCTCCAGGAGGAGATGAGGCAGTCAGGGTGCAGTGTAGCAACAGTGAAACATACAACTTTCCTCTAGTTCCTAAATGCTTCCTCCCCACTCACTATCATGATCCCGATTCTACCTTACAAATCCAGCTAGACCAGAGGATGTATACTGGTACAGATAGGAACTGGAAACACAGGGAATCCAGGGCGGATAATCCCTTCAGGACCAGTGCTGAGAGTGGCGATACTGCAAGGGTGAAGGGAGGGCAGGGTGGAAAGGGGGAACCGATTACAAGGATCTACATATAACCTCCTCCCTGGGGGATGGACAACAGAAAAGTGGGTGAAGGGAGATGTCGGATAGTGTGAGACATGAAAAAATAAGTAATTTATAAATTATCAAGGGTTCATGAGGGAGGGGGAAGTGGGGAAGGAGAGGAAAAAAATGAGCTGATACCAAAGGCTCAAGCAGAAAGCAAATGTTTTGAGAATGATAATGGTAACACATGTACAAATGTGCTTGACACATGGATATATGTATGGATTGTGATAAGTTGTATGAGCCCCCAATAAAATAATTTTTTTAAATGACCCAAACTTTAAGTACACCATGAAGTTAATTTTTTAGATATTCCTTCTGCCCTAGAAGCCTCTTTTATGGTCTCTGCAGACTTATGATTTGAGGATGCAATATACGTGGATAGCTAGCTTTCAAAATGCACGGAAGTAGTTGATGCTGTGCTTCCGTACAGTGGTCTTCTGCTGTCTGTCTGAGCAGTATGTAAAGCCTGGGGTGATACCTGAGAAGAGCAGAGGCACTGCGGAACATTGCAAAGACCATCACTTTCATGGTTCCTAACCCTCATTTTATTCTCTCGTCTAGAGTAACTGTTATAGTTCTCCCTCCCACCCCCTTTCCCAATGGGAATTTTGTTGTAATTATTCTATCCCTTGCATATCAAAATATAGGGTAATCAAAAAGTATTGGTATTAGGGTTCTAGTTCATACACGCTAGGGTTTATTACAAACAAAACATGCTTAAGCATGTCTGTGGTTCGTGGATGACTGCAGACAAATTCTCTCTGTAACACATACTCACTGCTATCGAGTCGATTCTGACTCACAGTAACCCTGTAGGACAGAGTAGAATTGCCCCTTGAGTTTCCGAGACTGTTAACTCTTTACGGGATTAGAAAGCTTCCTCTTCCTCCCGGGGTGGTTTTGAACTGCTGACTTTGAGGTTAGTTGCCCAACAAGTAAATCACTATATTGCCAGGGCTCCTTACAGTGGTCTTAGTCTCCTTAAAACAAAAACTGACTGCCACCAAGTTGAGTCTGAATAGAAGTGCCTCGTGGGCTTTGGAAACTTGAAGTTGTTACAGGAACAGACAGCCTCATCTTTCACCTGTGGAGCAGCTGGTGGGTTTGAAACCACAGACCTTCAGGATTCCACAAAACCGTTGTGTCTACCTTTCTGAGTTGAACTCTCTATCTTCAATTGAAGTGGCCTGGCAGATCCCGAGGAAGGCACTATTTTGATTGCATTTTGTTGTTGTTATTGTTGAAGGGCCCTAAGGAGACTAAAGAGAGTGCTGGTGGCACAGTGGGTAGCTCACAATGCCACTGACCTATTATTATTACTAAAGTTAGTAGTCAAACTTTCATGGTGCTGTCTGGTAAGCAAGCATTGGACTGCTAACTGAAAGGTTGGCAGTTCAAACCCACCAGCTGCTCCATGGGAGAAAGATGAGGCTCCTTGCTCTTGTAAAGATTTAACCAATATAAGTTGTTAACCTTATACAGGGTCCATCAGAATCAAATTGATGGCAGTGGGCGGGAGTTGAGCATAAACCATTTGTGCCACCCAAAGACCCAGTTTTCTTAGTTGAAGGTCTCCATTTGAGGAGGAGTTGTGCCCATGTATCCTCACCCACGGACACACTTGGTGCAGATGGTGAATTTGAGCCAGTGATATAATGAGATGAAGTTGTGGGCAAGGAATAAATTACGGCAGGTGGCAAGAGAAGC